GATTTTCCTTCTTTCTTATAATTAGTTCCTTTTATAAATAAATATTTTGCAAAATCACAGAAATAACCACATAAAAAGTTTGTGTATAATTACTATGTACCCATCAATAAAAATGACCTCATTACTTGGGAAAGGGAAAGCAAATAGATTTATATATTTTGAATTTATTAAATGCATTTATTTTCTTTCATGTTTAAGTTAATTGACGGTATTCGAGAAATGTTGATTGATGAAGAAAAGAAAGGTGTGTATATAAATATTCCTATTTTCAGGATGTTCCTAATTCAGATTTTTGGGATCGTCAAGACCTTAACTTAATGGTGCCGTTACCGCTGTATATATATAAGCTGTTATCCGAATAAATAAAAATATATGGAGAACCAAGTCCATGGATATAAAGCAACCACAAAAAAACATAAATCTATATTCCCACACTAATATCATAAATATGAAAGTGAATTTGTTTGTCGGTTTGTTGTCCTTTACGCCTAAAGCACTAAACCGATTTTAAAAATTATTTCAACAATTTAAAGCCACATTATCAGCGACTAACATAGGCTTTTTATCGCATATATAAAACCGGGCGGAGCCACGGATTCCATGTAGTGACGATTCCGTGTAGTGACGGATTAAGAATATGGAATGTCACTACCCCAATTCATCCCGTGGGTGTCGTAAGAGCCGACTAAGGCCGCAAAACAACGCAGGACACACGCAAAAGCCTACTAAGGGAACTAACTACGCAAGACAACAGCACTGCAAATTGAAGGAAAACTTGACACAAACCCTGTACTAACCCGTCTGGCCAGCGTGGCATAGTAGGCCAAAATCTTCTTTCTAAGGAGAGACCTATGTCCAGTAGTGGACTATTAAAGGCTGTTGATGTTGATGTGAGCCACGGACAAAAGCTAGTTAAAAAGAAAATAAAGAAACGGCATTCCCCGTCGCTTAAAGGGTAAATACTTAATGCTTTAATTTGTTATTTCATTAAGATTATAAAGATTACTGATGTTAGTTAAGTTTGGCGAGAAACATCAACTTTGTTTCTCATCTTTATTCTTAAGTCGGTGTCAGAGATAAATTGCAAGCTCTGCTAAGTACGAATAACTTGTATTGTTGTCAATTCCAACAAAATCGTCTGTCAAGCTATTTCAGCTTCAACAAACGTCACATAGTTTGTCTAAATAATGTTTTGTAGATGAGTTACATTGAATTAAGGAGTCGAATAGATTTTATAATTCAAACGAAGCCTTTAACGTGATAAAAAAAAAATCTACGTTTTTCTCTTTTTCCAGAAAGTAACTTGACTTTCCTTTAAAAGAATCAGTAGTATTAGAATACCGGATGATGATAAAATTTTCATTACCACTTTATGTATTAAATTTTATTTTTACTTAGGTACATATGCTAGGGTCTGTAAGTAAGAAAGAGGCATTTTACACACTTGAATTTTGCGAACTATTTTTTGGTTCTAATTATGTAATAAGTCCTTGACATGTTACTTTACCTGTAGTTAGTCGAGCTAGTTAAGAATAAAATTAAATTTGGGAAAAAATTGGAAGGGAATATTTACTTTTCCTTTCAGTGAAGGTTTCTTATTGAAAAATCAAGTATTAATATAAAAAACTAGCTGAACCGGCAAACGTTGTATTGCAAAACAAAAAAAAATTAGGGATGGGTCACCCTTACCATTTAGGGGTATGAAAAATAGATGTTGGCCGATTCTCAGACCTACCCGATGTGCACACAAAATTTCGTGAGAATCGGTCAAGCCATTTCGGAGGAGTACGGGAACGAACATTGTGACACGAGAATTTTATATATAAGATAGTGTTAATAGTTAATTATTTTATCGTTTTTGTCAATACTGCAAAATAATTACACATTATCCCTTAGTCTATTAACAGGTCCCTGATCGTTCTCGGTGAAAAGGTGCCAATTACTCACGATGAGAGTGGACTGAACCGGGATGAGAGTCACTATTGACTTTTGTGAGTCTTCGCCCAAGCTACGTTATTTTTTTTTAAGTAAACTTAACAGAAATACAGATCCAACTAAACAATCACTTTTATATGCCTCTGAAGGAACTTACAAACTATAAATGACTGCTTGCTAACAAGTGACCAACCAAAACGGACTCAAAACATATCAAAAACTTATTTAAACAAAATCCAAACGGGAATTTACTAAAATTTACACACTCGACCACCTTTCTTAAAACCATACTTAAATAAGATAGTTTCTTAGTACAGTATAGTTATCCTAAAAACAAATGTCAAGAATTATTTTCCAAATCCGGAACGACCATAATCTCAAGCAAGACAGCTATTCTTTAAGTAAAAATAAGAAGTCATACCGATATCGTAGTGTTTTCTTATCGTATTTTTTCTCTATTGTTGCTATTATATGTTTTAGTCCACTAAACATCTTATTTAATGTTAGTCTACTGATGATATTCACTCAAAAAAAATGTGATTTGGATGTTGCTTTTGTAAGAGGTTAATAAAAATAATTTCTGACTTTGTTTTTCAACTTGCTTGCTGTTAAAACAATCCATGGCTGCCCTGTTAAATGATAAATGATATTTAATCCTGTAAGGCAATATTTTCAGATATTTTTACAAGTCGGACTTTAGAGCTAGAAGGAACCGGCATTTTCTAAGACTCACTCTGGGAAGAAACGACGAAACAAACGTCAGAGGTGTCTTTTTTTAGTCCGTTAACGAAATTAAAGAAAACAGTGCCAGTACAGTATAGTGCATGGGTAGGCCTTTTAAAGAAAAAAATACAGTTTTGAGTCGGCCCATAAATACAGACGACATACGGGCCCTAGCCATCGTATAGCCTAACCGATATTGGTCAAGATTAACGACCCCACGACACTATTGCCAACAGGAAATTTTAGTGGGAACACTCAAAACCACCAGAAAGTTTGAAAAAATTTGAAACAATATTACAAGCCAACACTATACCCACATTTACGTACTTACACAAAAAATACACTATCCAATTCAAATTCAACGAATTGTTGGTCTAGTAATCTAGACTGCTAAGTCGGAGGTGGAGTTCGATTTCTACCGACGACGAATAATTGTAGAATGACTGTATATTTGGGTAATTTATCAATGAGATGATTGTACTTAGAAATATATAAGTACGTTAATCAGTAGTCCAGTTACCATAACACAAGCTCTACCTAATTTGGGATTAGATCAGTGTATGTGAAATGTGTCAAAGCATTATTTTTATTTTTTATTTTATTTATTTATTGAATACTTCCTGCAAATACATTCCATAATGCGGACTTAATGCCATAGGCATTTACTTCCAGTCAACCTTCGGGTGATGCTGAGCTGTATGAAGCAGGTGAAGTGCAAGCTAGTGAATGAATTACAAGTTGATCATATCACCAAAAATATACAATTTTTAATTTTTATAGCTTTTTAAAGTCGATTTTGAAACTAATTTAAAATGTATATATTTATTCAATCCTCTTTGAAAATTTACTCTTGTATTATTAATTACATAAATAATTATACATTTTACATTAACATGTATAATATTAATATTGAAATATAATTAAGATTTGAAATACCACTTTTAGATCTAAGGCCGATTGATTCGTTTTACAATACTACCGAAATTTTATCCCTTCGAAGTAGACCTTTGAAACATGTTAAATACTCTGTAACAGTTATTTTTTTAGGATATTTGTATTGCGTACGGAGTTGCCAAAAGCGACATCTATTGCCCCCCGTCGCATTTGTTGATTTATCTAAAGTAGTTTATAACTACAGTATTGATGTTCTTCGTTCGCCGTCGGACCACTAGATGGCGTTTGTTTGTGGATAGGTCTTTTTATTAATTTATCATGACAAATGGTATAGGTATTAAGAGTGTTTTGTTATGGTAGGAAGCGAGTTACTTTTGATTTTGTTCGTGTTCCCCTCGTTGATAATTTAAATGTCAAAGTAAAATGTTAAGTAGGGATTATTTCTGGAAACTTCGGAAACCGAACATATATAAGTCCGGCTTTCAGCCACGGGAGACACTCTGCTATCTCGTGTCTTCCAATCTTAAATAGTGTTTTGATTGTCTTGTGATTTTATTTTCATAATATATTATCTGTTAAAAGTACCCACGAAAGTGGTGAGTATATTATTAATTTTTCTTGTACCTATTTGTTTCTGGAACCTGATCGATAATATGAGTGCTAATCCATTCGTAGGGTCCCAGATTTCGGGGTCAAGACGGTCAGTCTCAGACGGCGTGCTTGTTCGTTTGTGGCCTTCTGGTTCGAATTCAAGTTTCTCGGTACCCTCTGGCGAGCTGGCAGTCACGCGGCTCACCAAGCAAGCGGACAGCCGTACCCAAGGGTTACGTACTTCTATTTAACTTTATAAATACCAATAGTGAACTTTTCTCAATATCTAATATAAATAGCCGACTCGGGCGGAAGGGGAAGTGACCTCCTGGAGTGAAGACGAGGAGGCTCCGAGCACCATCAGCTCGGCTCTGACGCGCTCCGCTGCGGTTTTTCTTGTACCCACTGATTAATTTATTTATTTTTCTATTGTAACTTTAATTTTGTTTTTGAAATATACATGTATGTATGACTGAGGTGTAAGTTGTTTTCCTCTAAGGAATCCCGTAGGTTTCACACACGCACACACTTCTGTTCTCTTAAAAGGCGCCCTGAGGTTATCTCATAAATCTCTCCACTGGGTCAGCCGGTGAGTAGTCCGCCTGAGAAGAAAAGCGGCTACAACTCTTCAATAAAATTATAAAACGCCTGGTAAAAAGTATTTTAATTTAATAACTTAGAAAGTTATTCGAAAAATTGTAATCGCTTAAAATAACACAGGCATGACTTAAGTTTAGATCACCGGTTCCTAAAGTGGGTTCCAAAAGTTAAAAGTCGCCAGGTGGAATTTAGGTTCAATAATATTAAGTATGTAAAGGGACAAGCGAGTAAAAGGGTCATTCATCATCACCAAATCTTTAATAGTCCACCATTAGACATTCATTCATGACACCCTTTGAGCCTCCTACCAAATTAGGGGCAGTTGGTTTCCCCCCCCCCCTTCCCAGTGGTATTACTCCGGTCAAGGACAGGTCTATTTGAGCCCAAGCATATCTCATCTCTCTCTCACTACAAGATAAGACTTCCTGGTGTTTTAAAAGCGTTCTTAACATTGAATGTTAAAAATTCTTTCTATGTTTTAAAATAATCTAATAAACATTATCGAGCATGTTTACAATAAAAAATACTTGCCATAAGAGGGTTTTTTTTGAGTTTTTGATTTATTTTGAAAATAGTTTCCTTATAATATATAACTCATGGTCACAACACGAGACAGGGCCGTATTCATGTCACAACACAATACGAGGAAGTCGACTTAGTCATCTATTCGGGACACTTTATAGACTTCAACCTTTGTATAAATAATAATAATAATTTCTCCTCACGATAAAGACTTATTATACACAAAATACTCAAGAATACTTAGGATATTTATTTTTTTTTTTTTTTTTTTTTTTTTTTTTTTTATTTATTTATTAGGGTTAACAACAGTCCTTAAAAATAAATATCACAATTTAAATTTCTACAATCAGGTGAAACCAATTAATGTTAACCACGTATGCAATTTTGATTTTAATAAAAATTTCCCAGACTTTGTCACAGCAAAAATGTAAAAAAATAAAAGTTGAAGCCAAAACATACAATATTAAAACTAATAAATTAAATTACAACTAAAAGAACAGTGAGACAATATTCTAGGCAAGCAGTATGCTGAACAGAGTGTGTGTGTGTGGTGCGTGTATGTGTGTGTGTGGTGCGTGTATGTGTGTGTGTTGTGCGTGTATGCGTGTGTGTGTGTGTGTGTGTGTTGTGCGTGTACATATGTGTGTGTGTGTATGTGCGCTACAATATACTACATAGCATTACATAGCCCTCAGAATAACCAAAAAAGCGAAACAACATCCCACCCAACGAGATCCACATTTAACCCAATCACACTTTAGCTTGAGTGCCCGCTAGCGTGTTCGTTATAAGCGTCTTAAACCTACTTTTACTGTTCGAGAATAAATCTATGTCTTTAAATTCGGTATTATAGGTTATTATAATTCTGGAGAGAACAGAGTTCTTGGCATAATTTGTAGAACGTAAGGGCGCAACCAAGAGCCTGGTATGTCTTGTTCGTGTTCGAGGTACACTAAAGTAGATATTTGCTAGCAATGCAGGACAATCAAGTCGATTTCGTACAATATCGTACAGAAAACATACATCTAGCATTCGCCGGCGCTCTTCCAACGTCAAAATCTTATGTCCGCGACAACTGTCCACGTAAGAGGAGTAGCGTTGCTGAGTTTTGAAGTTAAGATGCATAATGAATTTTTTTTGTATTGATTCTATACGATTAGTATAAATACTATAACAAGGATTCCATATGGGACACGCATATTCTATTATGCTACGTACATATGCAAAGTAAACAACTTTAAGACTTAGTGAGCACTGAAATGGTTTGCATGTTCTTAATACAAACCCTAAGTTACGGTAAGCCCTTTGTACTACCTTTTCCACATGGTAAGATAAAAGCATCTTTGAATCGAAGAATACCCCAAGATCGCGCACCAGGTTGACCCTCTCTATTACAATGTTGTTAAAATTGTATGGAAAGTTAATTGGTTGCCTTTTGCGAGTAAAACTGACAGTTTGACATTTTCTAATACTAATAGAGATTCTGTTACGTGAATAATATTCTTGAAGTGAATTTAAATCCTGCTGGAGTCTTACGCAGTCATCAACCTTGTGTATGGGTGCATAGATTTTTTTATCGTCCGCGTACATTATGTGTTTGGCGAATTTAAAACAGTCAGAGATGTCATAAATATATGCATTATAAAAGAGGGGGCCAAGATGCGAGCCCTGAGGCACACCAGAAGGGATTGAGATATAATCTGACCTATAACCACTCATCACGACAGCCTGCGAGCGATTCAGTAGATATGATCGGACCCACCGTAATAAGTCCCCATGTATACCTAGTTCCTGTAATTTTCGAAGCAATATGTCATGATCTACGCGATCAAAAGCCTTTTCAAAATCAGTGTAGATGACGTCCACCTGACCACCCCCATCCATGTGAGTTAATACGTAGTCGGAAAACAATGCCAAGTTGGTAACAGTGGTAAGAAATCCGTGCTGGTAGTGGGGTATGCCTTGTGATAGTATTGGATAAATTTGTTTATAAATAAGTTTTTCAAAAATCTTACTAATCGTATTTAATATAGAGATTGGTCGGTAATTTTCAATAGATGAGCGTGACCCCTTTTTATGTATGGGGATAATTTGAGCGTTTTTCCATATTGATGGAAAAATACACTCTTTCAGGGATCTACGAAAAAGGTAAGATAGTGGCAAAGCTAAGGATTTTGCACATGAAGATAAGAAAATCGGTGGAACACCATCGGAGCCTGCGCCTTTGTTTTTATCTAATGAGGATAACAATTTATATACTAAATCTTCATTTACTTCTATATGTGATAATATATCTTGGTTTTGGTATTTAATAGTAGATAAATCTGGGGTATTATTAGTAACGTTCATTGGACTTATAAAGACACTCTCAAAAAATTTATTGAACGCAGAACTAATTAAGTGCCCCTCAGTGTATTCTATATTGTTTAGTTTGAACTTCTTAGGATAGCTAGAGCAACCCTTTTTAGATTTTACATAGGTCCAAAAGTATTTTGGGTTACGCCGGATTATGTTTTGGCTATTTATTATAAATTGGTTAAAGCAAGTTTTTTGCACAAGTTGTACCCTAGAACGCAAGAGACGGAATTCATCATAATCGCGCGGGTTGCCCCTTTTTATCCATTTTTGATGCGTTTTGTGTTTTTCCTTAATTATTCTTATTAATGCTGTGCTGTACCATATAGGATAATAGCATTTAGATTTTGGGTTATAAATTGGGACATACAACGTAAAGCAATCACTTAATGTTGAATAAAAAATATCGACAGCTTCATCAATTGTACCGACATCAAGTTTTTTTAGCCAGTCGATATTTGTAAGATATTCATTTATTTTTATGTAGTCACATTTATAAAAATTAAAACGCGGGTCATGCCGTTCTTTGAGAGGTACAAGTTGAAGATCCAACAATTTAACGTAAAAAGGTGGGTGGGCGTCATCAACCCTGACAATAGGCTGCAAGCATTCGCTAATTGATAAAGGCAAGTTGCAAAAACTTAAATCTAACGTGTTCCCCCATTTATTAGTTAAACAATTGTATTGTACTAATCCATAAAAGCTAAACTCATTCATTAATGAGGTGGCTGCATCAAGTGTTTGAGAAGAACTACTCCGATCATAATAATAATTGTTATTACACCACCTAACAAAAGGTAGGTTAAAATCACCAATTACCAAATAATTGTCACATGGATACTTAGCCATTAATTGTGATACATTACTTTGAAAACATAACACGCGATTAGGTAAGTCCAAGTCTGGCGGAATATAAGTTAAAATTATGTGCAAGTCAACCAACGAACCCAGCGAGCGCGCTGGTATAGTTATACAAATAGATTCGACGTTAGAAGCCGGCCATTCATTACATAAATAAGCATCTACTTCACGCTTTAAAAGAATTAGCAGGCCGCCGCCGGATTTTTTATTAGTTGCAGTCAAATCCCGATCCGATCGGTAGACGTCATACCTACCATCACAAAACTCGCTGTCCAAAATATCATCTTGTAGCCAAGTTTCCGTTAACATTATTATATCATAGTCATTACTCAAAATGTTATTATAAAGGTCTAGGCACTTGGTCCGTAAGCCGCGTACGTTCTGATAATATATTTTATTATTTGTTGCCATTTTTTTTTAGTTACTTATTAAATATCCTATTACATTCGGTTAAAATATTAAATATATATACATAGATACACTCAAATACATACATATTATACACACATACATATATTACATAGGTACATAAACACAATACCAAATACGGACTTTTATCACTATTCATAATAACATTAAATATGAATGCCATGTCTATACAACTAAGTATATGAAAGCGTAAATAGGTACAATAAAAGTTAATAGAAAAAAAAATCATTATTGCAGTGGTTAAATTTAAAGTCTTAAGTATTATTAAGTGATAATGTGGGCTACGGACTGAGGTAGTTACAACAACATAATATTGCAGGTAAGTGTTTACGGCCGAGCGGGCTGCGAATGTGTTTGTGGTCATGAGAGTTAATATTAGGTAAAAAGTAGTCAAGCGCACATATAGATATCGAGTGGGTATGGTGTATGAATCATTAGAAAACACTTGGTGACGATATGCGGTTATACTGTATTCGAAGAAATGCATGATTACGGATTGATATATAACTTTATGTAGTATAATGTAATAGTAAGTAATGTAAATATCTTTATTGTGGAGGTGTAATGTGTGGTATGTGAATGTGTTGACTGTATAATGAAAAATTGAGCAGAAATCACATGATGTTGATATGCAGTTCAACTTATAATAGTGAGAAACCAGGACACAAATTGATAATAGTAGTCACTTAATTTTCGCTAGGTCGTCATGGTTGTTGATAGTGAATGACGGTGACGTGTTATTTTTTCGTACATGTATTTTGCAATTTCGTATCCATACATATTCGTAATTAGCGGCACGCTTGGCTTCTTTTGTTTTTCTAAGCAGGTCCTTATAAAATGATGTTAAATGTTCATTTATATAAATAGCCGATTCTTCGCCGTCGAAACAAATTTCACTAGTTGTTAATGATTTCTTTTTGCGCATCGCCGAGATTAGGCTATCTTTTGTGATAAGAGATTTGAATTTCACAATAATACTTTTGACTCTGCCTGTAACACGCGTTGGAACTCGGTGAATATGAACAATTTCATCGTCTGGTATCTGTGTCTTGAGTGATGTAGCAATAGTTTGTAAATATTGAGTCAAGTTTTCGTTATTTTTTTCTGGGATTCCTGTAATTTCCAAATTATTTACGCGCTCGCGCTGTTCCCGAATATTCTGTTCCATTTGGAGGGTAGTTAATTGTCGCTTAACGATAGTGAGCTCAGACTCCAAACTAGTTATTTTGTCGGTTTTCGTAGTAATTATATTCATACGGAACTTCAAATCATCTTGTTCTTTACTCTGGAAGTCCAGGGAATCGGTCAGAGATGACAGGTCTTTTCGAAACTGATTATGATCTCTAATAATATCATTATTTGCAACCTTTATCGATTCCAATTGGTTTTTGACATCCGTTACATCCGACCTCACCTGCTGAAATTCAGCTTTTTGTGAACTTTTGAATTCATACAGGAAACTCATCATGTCCTTACGTAGTTCGGCTATTGCTTCCTTGACCTCAACGTCGGCATCAGGTTGTTTACGTTTTCGAGTAAATACAAAGTTATCGATTACGGGTAGCTCACACTTTGATAAGTCTGGTTGAGAACTTGTAAGACTTGGTGCGCCGGCCGCTTTTGTAGGTGACCTTGTGACGCTCATTGTTAATCGCCGTGCGAATCTGACGATTAGCTAGCCGGTTTAGATATATTATGCTTAAAGACACTAGACACTATGCTCACTGCACTTAAGTTTATTATTAACTGAACACTGTTTATTGTAGATAACAGAAAAGTCATGAGAGTACTATGCACACGTCTGCTGCGGACAAACGATCCGAGATTAATAATAATTTTATTTATTTTTTTGACGACCGAATGGCATAGTGGTTTGTGTAACGGACTGCTATTCCAAAGGTCGCGGGTTCGATTCCCGCTCAAGTCAAGCATTTGTGTGCATGAACATTTAATGTTTGATTTGGTCTGGCTGTTTCTATGTATAATATGTATGTATTTACAAAAAAAAAAGTATATATGTATTTATATCAGTTGTCTAGTACCCATAGTACAAGCTCTGCTTAGTTTGGGACTAGATGGCGTTGTGTGAATGTAGTAGAATATTATTATTATTATTTTATTATTTTTAAAAAGACAACTCCCACACTAGGAATAAATCCTGTGTCGCGGGGGACTTTACAAACATACATGAAACGGACACAAAGTACACCCAGACTCAGAACAACAATTTGTGGATTACACAAAGTGTTATTCCATGTGGGGTTGGAACCCACAACACTCGGCGTAATAGGAAGCGGCGTGGCGACCGATTAAACCACTACGCCATCCGTGCAGTGATTTATTAGCAGTCTAAAATATGTGAGGAGCTGGTGTCCGAAGTACTTTGACCTTGAATTACGGATAACCAGGTACAGGTACCCTACAGTAGTTAGATTTACAAGTTTTACATATTAGTTTTTTTTTTGTTACGAATTAATATACATACTAATGACTTGAAGATGTGTATCAACATTGTCACGGCATTCCTTTCCTCAGGGTGATCTCTTTAGGAACTATTGACTAGTTTTAGAATAGTAATAATAGTCTAGTAAATATAGGCTCATTATTAGAAATATATCCTTTTTTTATTGTTTCAGTTGATAAACGAATTAAGGTTGCGTCAGATATTGCGCGAAGACGCCGTTGAGGGCAGGCGCTAGGAGAGGTCTGGATGTCTTAATAAGAGAGTGCCACACAGTGTGGTTTTAGCCGATCTGATTTCGACACACCACCCCCCCGCAAACCCAGGTGGGGTGACATCCCCAAGGGAGGGTCTAGTGGTTGGTGACCCTGACTGCTAAACCGGAGGTCGTGGGTTCGATTCTCACCCAGGACAAATATTGTGTGATGAGCACGGTCATTTGTTCTGTGTCTGGGTATAATTTATCTATAATATGTATCTATTTAAAAAATATACATAGATGTATGTTTATCAGCAGTCTGGTTACCATACTACAGGCTCTGCCTAGTTTGGGACCAGACGGCCGTGTGTGATATATATATATACATAGATATGCCGCTACGCTACGCGTCGAACACGATTTGTATTATGATACATCTTCTAACCATGTCTATTCTACGGTAATTTATCCGTTTGTTTATTCCCCTTGTAAGCCTTGATTTCTAAAATGATAATTTGAATTTCCGCAAACACGTTTTCCGTGGCACAGAAAAGATATAAAGTAACTTTCATCTAAAAAAAGGCAGGTGATCTTCAGGGATTTTTGATTCTATTGTTAATCTAAGCTACAGGTAAGAAACAAGCTAATTTTAAAAACCGACTGATTGAAAATATATATTCATCAAGGTATATTCGGCGATCTTAATTTATAACCCTCCTTCTAGCGCAGTTGGGTAAAAAGATATAATTATTTTAACTAAAAGTACGTTTGTATGTCTCCGAGGACGTACGGTACACACATTGTGAGAATTTAGTACATTAACCACATACGGAGAATGTTCCCGAATGTCACGTTTTAGACATTACTTATTAAGACCACTATGCGTACAAACATACAGAAATTGTTAATGAGAATTCTTGTTATAAGTAAGTTTATTTAAACATTTGTTTTGTTGGAATTTCGTGAAAACGCAAAATTGAGAAGATTCTAGAAACAAAAATTGTTGTATTGTTTTAGTATCATAATTTACTAGTAATAGTATAGTCATTGTTGTCCCTAAATCCACCTATAGGTTGTCTGGCAAAGATAGTTTTTAGCGATAAAACCGTTTTACCGCTATAAACTTAAGATCCTTTGCTATTTTAGTTGATGTACAATAAAAAATATTCTACTCTTCCTGTCTAACTCTAACCTGATAATGAATTAATAACTACATGAACACAACTTCGACACCATAACTAATTCAGAGCCTAATGGCTTTTATCATTAAAAGCTTTGAAATCTTTCTTTTCACTTAAGGCTTTAAGATTTTTCATTTCATTTAAAACTTTTAAATCATTATTTAAATTTAATTACTCTATTGGAAATACAAACAGCTAATTACGAGTAGCTATATAACTGTCGAGATGATATCACAGCGAGTGCATTGATGCGGCAAATAAGCTACTTCAACGTGCTAAATTATACGAAATAGGTTAGTTGGAAAACGTAGCAGACTGGCTTATAGGTAAGAATGATATTAAAGACGGTCTTGGTGTAATAATTTTAAATAAATGCAGGTATAGATTATTCGTAATTTTGATCATTGATGCAAAGGTAGTTTAATACATAATGTTTCGGGCTTATGAACAAGTTGTTGGGATCATAGTTAAACCTAGTATATTACTGACGCTAAACTGTAGAGGAACGGGCGGTTTGGCCCTTCAACACAAAAGGAGGATTTCCAGACCAGATGAAGTGATCATGTCTAGCGATCCATCTTGGGAAGTATTCTACATACTAATAGCACTGAAGGGTATCACATAAGTAGATTTTTGTGAGACGCTGTGTCAGAATTAAAGTGAATAACATGTAGTTGTTAACAAATCCTATGAATAACCTTCAAATCATGAAAACAAACATGTGAAATATCCCGTTTATAATAACATATTATTGTCCTCTCCACGCCTTAATTTCTTACTTTGTGTAGAATCAAACGTAAGATATAACCTTTCAAATAAAATATATATTTCAAAATCAAAATGACGGAGTTTATAGGTAACAAACATAAAAATACAAATAATTAATACTAATTTATGAATCTCGTAATTTTATGAAGTCAGGTTAAAATATCTTTTATTTTTAAAGAATTTTACACTACTGTAATTCCAGTTCAAGTTCACCTTAGAAGAGATGACAGCAAAACATCAATATAAATTGAATGCCATGAAAGTTTCAAATAAGTTGTATATAAAGAGACAACCAGTTTGTGTTTGCAAGTAAAACTTTAACTGTCTCAAGCGCACCTGCCATTGTTTTACCCCGAAGACAGTTCTAGAAAACTAAAACAGACTTTAAAACAAGTGACCATATACTTCACAACGGTATATGAACCAAATAAATTACTAAATAGATATAAGTTATACAAACAAAACTCTTGTTTGAGAAATTGTTTTGACGTCAAGATGCTTTAAAAATTATTAATAAATATTCGAGAATGAATTACACAACCATCATCATCAATCATCAACAGCTTCTAATATTCCACTGCTGGACATAGACCTCTCCTTAGAAAGGAGATTTTCGCCTACTATACCACGCTGACCAGACGGGTTAGTATAGGGTTTGTGTCAAGTTTTCTGTTTGAGGTGCTGGTGTCCTGCGTTGTTTTGCGCCCTTAGTCGGCTCTTACGATACCCCCGGGATGAATAGGGGTGGTGACATTCCGTATTCTTAATCCGTCACCACACGTCCGTCAGTCAGCTTTATATCAGCTCAATAAAGAATTAAGAATTCAATAAAATTCTAATGAAACATCGCAGATTCTGTTAATTAATAAAGACCAACCTGAGGAATTTAAACCTTTTGAAGTTGGTTAAAAATTGCATAACATCGGTTTGCTGTGAGGCCGTGGTATGACTCCGGTCGAGTTGGTTAGCAAATGTACTCGATAAAAGAAACCTATGACCGTACTTCAAGAGTCAATGGTTATATTACAGTTACACCCTTGTAACATATATGCCCTTAACCCTCTACTAACTTAGGGTAGCAATAAATTTTCATATCTAGTACTAAATGTGAGCTAAGTCTATGTTATATGCGAGGTATATTTTGTGTATTGTTATATTTTACGTTTATTACGTTACCTACGTTTATTGATGATCTATATCGTAACAAGAAATGTATAGGAGATAAATTTATTTCAGATTGTATTCTTCTAAGGTTTATATTTTATATTTTAATTTTTTTAAAGTCAACTCTCACATTAGGAATATATCTTGTGTCGCGGGTTACTTAACAAACATACATGAAACAGACACAGAGAACACCCAGACTCAGAACAACAATTTGTGGATCACACAAAGTGTCGTCACAAAGTGTGTACACTCAGCGTAGTAGTGAGAGTCGTGGCGACTGCTTAAACCGTGGAGTCGTCTTTGAATATACTCATAAACTTTTTCCACCCATGATAATATAATTAAACTAAAATAAATTAGCTGCAGTGAGTCCGCATCCATACTTTTAATAATAAATATGAAAGTGAGTTTGTTTATTTGTTAGTTTGTGTATGTTTGTTTCTTACACTTTCATGCCTAAACCCCTAAACCGATTTAAAAACATCTTTCACCAATGAAAAGCTACATTATCAGCGAGTAACACAGATATACATGCGGGCGAAGCCGCGGGCAAAAGCTAATCGGTAATATTTTTTATAATGATATATTTTTCTTCCTTTCACATAGATTCTGTAAATGGAACTAAAATGAAGTAAAATGGGTTCTGCAAAATGTGGGTGTTTAACACGCCCCTGTCTTCCCCTTAGGAAATAAAGGCGTGAATGTATGTTCCTACTGCGCTGAGTGTTGTGGCTTCGATCCCCACATGGTACAACCCTTTGTGTGATCCACAAATTGTTGTTCTGAGTCTGGGTGTTCTTTGTGTCGGTTTCTTTTGTGTGTGTAAAATCCCCCGCGGCACAGGATATATACCTAGTGCAGAAGTGGTT